TATTTATAGAGATCAATCAGACTCACTTCAGGATGATCCCTTTGTACATACAAGAGGTACCATTTCCCAAAATGTAAACAATTGGCATCTGCTGAACCATAATCCCTAAATCAGAAACACAAATGTTTGGATTAACAAAAAGTGGAAAGCCTCATTCTTTGTTGTTGACCTCCCAATACAGGGCGGAGGGGGTTCACTTTCAGTGTTATGTGCATGACGAGCATTCTTTATCCAGGACTGGAAATGCAGTGGCTTTTTGCCATAGTGACCAAAAAGGACAGCGGTCATCAAATTCAAGCCAATTCAAACTATAACTGACTTGAGGAGATTCAATATCAAGCCTTCAATTCAGTGCTGCACATATGATGCAGTATGAAACAAATGAGATTTGATATTCTTAATCAGAGAAATATAAAAGGATATTTATTTTACCTGTTTAAAAGAGTAGGTGGATCTGATACAAAAAAAAGTTGAGGAAATACAAAACATAGCTTATGCATAATGTCACTGAAATCTATGTGGTTTTTATATACCTAAAGTTTTAGCATTCCACTGCACCAGAGACATGTTTTATCACAGACCCTGAACTGCTGTCTATTTGCAGTGCATATATCCATATATATGGATACAGAATGCAGATATACAAACTAATCCGTTGTATAATCTGATGCTATAACAATGAGCAAACTGCTTAAACTCTAGTTCTGAGGGAATGAAATTTGGAAGTCTTCTCCAGAATAGCTAATTTTTGGACAGTGTTTTTTCTTGAAGAGATTAAATACAGAGCTAGTGGAGAGCACTGAGAAGTTCGAGAAGGGTGAGGAAAGTACTCTCTAGGCTACAGGTACTGTTGCACAGGACCTGAGGCATAAGCAGTGATCTTGGAAGTCCTGCCCATTCTGTTTTGTACTGTGGGTTTTGGGCCATATGAATCCCAGTAGGATAATCAATAGCCAAGCATTTGCTGGGGTTTGGGGGCCTCCAATCTTCCTCTTCCAAAGCCATGCTCGAGACACTGCTCCCAGCCGCCCTGCCAGAGGCTCTAAAAGTTGTTGGAGCTACTCCAGCTACATAGCAAAAGGACAATATACCAAATGCTCCAGGTCCACCTGCCTAGTAAAAGGGTTTCTTGCAGCCTGTGCTTCTAAAAGCAATGGATTGGTAACTGCAAATTGAAGTCAGCTGTGATCTCTCTGAACCAGTAGCTCTTTGGAGCCTTTTGAGGTGGTCATTGGGTGTTGGCTTTGATGACAGGGAAGCAGTCATATTTCCACTGGATTCTGCCTAGTTTTACATATGTTCATTACAGGTACTCAGTGTGCACTCAAATTTTTCTATTCACAAATCTATTTGGCAGGGAAATAACGCTTACATAAGTTTCAGGGAAGACTGGGATTGTCCACATATAAAGATTAAAGTTTTGAAAATTCTACAGAACAATGCAATTCAGTAAAATATCCCTAAGTACAATTTTAATTATCTTAATACGTACTTTTCATGCTCTGTTTTCATTTTCCATTAATTTCTGGACATGTTAGATTTCACTTTACTCTGTAAGAAGAAATGAAATTTTTCAGGTTTGTTAGGTTATATATTAAATTTTAGGACTTTGCATTAGAATTTCCTTATGACTTCAAAATTATCAAAATAGTTACTTTTGTCTGTGCAAATATGGAGAGTTTGCTTTCATTTCTGCTTTGTCACAAAAATTCAAAAATTTTAGGCAGTATAAAAAAGCATTCCCTGAATCCTAGTGTCAACAATTACCTGTTTCCCTTTCTAAAATAGACTGTACTTTTACCAGGCATCCCTTTGACCCCAGGCAAAAGGAACCTAGCCCTTGCCATGCTAAATAATAAGCTGTGTAAATTTCAGTTGTTGGGGATCTGTTCTGTGCCTCCAATGGGAGAAAAAGTTATTTCCAGTGGTTATGGTTTTGGAAAGCAGGGAAGGGGAGAGGAGAGGGAAAAGAAAAAAAGAAAAGAGGAAAGGTTAGAGGAAAGGAAAGGGAAAAGAAAAGAAAAAAAAGAAAATATTAGAGAAAAGAAAAAAAAGAGAAGGCAGAAGAAAATTTAAAAAAAAAAAAGAAAAATCTTAATGTTACAATTGATAAATTAGTGTTCTTGGGTTAGTCTTACTGGTTAAATATTTGGGAGCACACAAAAATACTTCATAAACACAGTGAGAGCGCTTATAATGTAAAACCTCTGTCCTTTCTTCAGGATCCTAGTAAGAAAACTGAGCTTTCTACCTGAATTATATTCTTCTAACTAAAAGCCAGAATGTCCTGCCACTAGTTAACACTGTCAAAACACCATATCTCAACTATTCTTGCTTAAGTAGACTTCATTCCTTCTTCTGTCTAGTTTTGAATGGTATTTCTTCATTTGTTATTCTCTAGCCTCTTTTTCACAGTCCCCTGGAAACAAAACATAAAATCAATGATGCTGAAGTTTATGTAGGCTTAATATTAGGCAAAAAATGAAAGTGCCTAGTCCTGCTGTCGATAGGATGCATTTGTGTAGTTCTCCATGTAGCACTAAAGTAGGATAAATGACAGCAATGACATTCTAAGAGGAAGAGCCATATGGTTCCATTTTATGGGCAGCTGGTTTTGTAACAGTTCAGAACAAAACAGTCATGAACCTTAAACAGATTCAGATTACCCATGTAGGTGAGCAAAGTAGCCATCCACAGTGCTATGGAGTTCCAGTCTTTTCCATGTACTGCCCTGTTGCGAAAGCATGCCAAGAATTGTGATTTATCAAGAAAGAGGAGAAATGTTTCCTCCAGGGAATTTATAGTTTCAGTAGGCAGTTGTCATGGTTTGCATGGTTGCTTGAGGTCAGAATACAGTAATTAGTTCATACCTCTAGTCTTCAGTGCCTCCAATAAGAATGTCTTTGACGGCATCCCCAGACAGAACAGAACAGTCTGTGGTGATATGCCATACTGCTAATTCAAATATGTAGACACTAGAAAAGGTTGTAAATTCACATTAGGTCACTATATCTGTGTGCATGTGCCTAGCTACCCACATGTGTATCCATATGAATAATAGATTTCTGAAAGAATCTTAAATGACTTGTTTTGGCTCCTCTCCTTCCCTTTGATACTGAGCCTTCTATACGAATTGGAAGTGAGAAAATAGTTAATACAGTGTCATTGTAAACCATTCCTGATTGATGACTTGCCTTCTCCCAAGACCCAGGATCATAGCACAAACCAACTGGTATAACATGAAGCTAAAACGACATCTTGGAATTCTGCTTTTTTTGTAGGGAAATGTATTTTTCAGTAATACTAATGTTCAGACTCAGGAAAAAAATGTATCTAAGGAAGTGTGTTATAAACAGAATCTTAAGCTATTGCTCTGCTTGATTACACTTATCTTTTCCTGAGAATCAAGTGAATTGTTACGTGTCATCCCCATGTTCATCTCTTAATACTTGTGAGCGTGATACAAACCACTAAAAGAATTTCATTGCCCAGACTAGACAATTTCCTCTGTTACACAAAGATATTTTTCCTATTGTGTCATTTGGTTTGATAAGTGCTAATACAAAGGTTCTTAGCCAGTGCTTTTAAAATACTTACTGATCTACAGAGACAGAAAAAGCAAACAGCAGTTAACAAATTGCTTTGACAGATAGTGCAGTCCCCGGGAGGCATTCATAACATTGTCACCAATGTTAAGTTATTCTTTCTCAGGAGCACCATTAACAGTCACACCACCTAATGTATGTAGTTCTGTAACATCAGTCCCAATGCTGAGCAGCTTTCCCAGTCAGAGGTTAACTAGGAGCAAAACCACGTCACTATTGAAAAGAAAGTGGAAACAAGCCTAAAGTGTTAAACGCACAGTTTAAAGTCCCATTAATACAGGCATTTACAGGTAGCAGAACTGAACTGTGAACACAGGTGAGCAGTATATTGACTTTTTAAAAATTGTATACAAAGGGACAGTTTGTATCTTAGTTTTGATTAATAGTTTGTTTTTGTTCTGGTCCATTTTAGCCCTGTTAGCCAGAAAAATAATAATTTTGAGAAGAACAGTGTGTCAATATAGATAATAAGTTCAATATGAACTATGAATAGGATGCTATTTAAAACAGATATAATCGGTGTAAGAGTAAACAGGTAAACAGTAGTCAGAAATTGGCACAGAACTATTTGTTTACAACATTTGTGAAACTTTGACTGGAAACCCGTGTGCCATTATGGTTTGTGGAAAATCAAAAAGATATACAGAAAATAGTTCTGAAGGAAAGAAAATTTAGAGAAAACATACCAATAGCAAAACACAAAAGATACTCTATGTGTTAATTCAGTCAAGACTAAGAAGTAGCTTGACTTCAGGATTTCTGACAATTCAGAGCTCTCTAATTTAGGAGAAAGAAACGTATAGTTAGCTGGAGCCAAGAACACCATCGTGTTCCCCCTCCACCAAATTAACAGTGGGATCTTTTAACCACTGGAGTAATCTGCATCCTTCTGAAAGATATGCTGCATCTCAGAAGCTATAAAGGCTGATAATTTTGGGACTACATAGGATTCTAGACTAGACAATAATGTACAATTTCCTCTGCCATTAATATCTATTTCTGAATTTAAGAATCTGCAATTCAACAAAGATGAATGAGGTTAACAGAATCTGGCCTTCAGTCATATATATTTTATCATTTAATTACATTTCCATTTGAGGATTATAATTCAGTTCTCTTATGACTTTATCTCTGAAACTTTTATACAGATCACAGAAATAATCTTTCTTATTCTAGTAATTAAACTTTGAACCAAATAGAAGTTCTTCAGCTTGAGACTCTGGATTGTCATGAGAAAGATCATTTTAGCTTGTTATGTGGGAACACAGTAATGATACAGCACAAAAAGCATTAGTGTCTGTTTTAGCCCCTGAGCTATGCAAATGTGTGGTTCTGTTTTGATCATGCTTGATATGCCATGTCTTGACTAGGTTTTATTCCATTCTGTTTTTACAGGTTAGTAAGACTTTAATCAAGAAGAAAAAAAAAAAGTATCTAATGAACAGCAATTTGAAGCACAGCATTTGGAAAGGTCAGAATGGTACATTACATCCTTATTATCCAAAAGAACAGATGACTTTAATATCCTGGCAGCATTTTCCTGTGAAGAAGATATTAAACAAGAACTGAAAATGGCACAAGGTTGCTTCTTACTTTCTTCTGACAAAGACTGCAACAAGGTGATTAAACTGCACAGAATAGATCTCTTTCTAATGTTCAGTTGTAGATCATGCCTACATTTCAAAAACCTAAGCTAACCAGAGTGTCAAAACACATGCTATTTGTTTCAGGTCCCTTAGAACTCATTTTACTGCTTATATGACCCAGTTTCCATTAATATTTTCTGTCTTAAAGTTGGAAAGGCATATTAATTAAAGGTACACAATGCAGTGAGTTTTGTCAAATGCTTGTGTTGAACTACAACAAAACAAGCACTACATCATCGCTGCTTAAAATACAGGGGTTTCAGCTTCTGTTCGAATAGACCTAACAACAGAGATAATGTATTCCAACATGCAATGCATTGCATGTGTCCTGTTTTGGAGAGTCCTTGAAGGTATGGAACTGTTTGGAGGCAAAGGAACTTTTAGTCTATCTTATTAAAAATTTGATTAATATAAGGAGCTGTCACATTCCTTAAATCACTATCTGAATGAAGACTCTTACTTTATAGGTCTAAGGAGAGCAAAAAAACTTCTGGAGCTTGATGTCGTATTTCAATACTAAAATACACCATCAGGGTTCTCATGTTAAATCTTCTTATGACAAGTGAAAAAATGCTATGCTTAAAAATCAAAAAATAAGTATATAGCCTACACCTGTATTAGGTTAGTAGTCATCATTCCACATGATATATGAGGTCTGCCATTACATAAGAATGTAACAGGTTCTATATTAAAGATATTCATAATTATTAAAGAAAACACTTTATATTATTCCAGAAGATCAGAAGATACCTGTTTTGAAGTATTGCTGGCTGAAGTAAACCTACATGGATTTGCACAAGCTCACAAGTAGAAATTATATGGAACCTTTTTTTTCCACACCACCCAGGGAATACGTTTGAAAAGAAATTTCTCCATGGTACATTACATGCAGCATCTTGCTGAGAAAAGTCATTCTGCTTCAGTCAAGAGAGATAAAATGAACATTTCCAGTATATGTTTTCAGTGTCTCAAGTGAATATATATGTGTGTGTGCGTCTGTGTGTATGTGTGCATGGACTGTTGTCTTTTTCTGCACCTTAGGTGATTTTATTTTCCACTGGAGATTTTAAATGTATTTTTCATCCTTTATTTTGCAAATACAAAGTAGGATAGTTTTTACAATGCACTGTCAATGTGTGACCTATTTTGAAACTCAGACGGTTTTGCAGAACTGTAGTCAGAAATCCCTAATGGGTCTTCATTTCATAAATACCTACAGAAATTAATGTTTTCCATATGCCTAGAAAATATCCACTAGATACAAGTTTCGAACAAGTTCCTTGTAATTCAGCTAATAGTCCTTGAAACTGTCATGACTACAGCCATCGAGTATGCAGCCTACAGAAAATAATTAACAAAACTCTTTTTTTTCAGTTCCTGATTATTATCCACAATAGAACTGAGTGTTTTTATAATTTGAATCACTAAGAGCTCTGACCGTTTGAACTTTTGCTATGAAAACATAAAATGTATGCTGTTGTATCCATTTCTTAAAAGACCATGGCTGGGGAATGACTGAGTAGAAAATCCAGGGTACGGAGGCAGTCACACAAACTCCAGGATTTCTCAGAGAAAGAGTCCAATGTACCAGATGAAGACAGTGGGGTTTGTTATACTCTTCTCAGTTTGCTCATGATTATGGAAAATGGTTACTCTGTCGCACACTATTTAACACGGGGAACACTTTGCACACATTATGCAGCCTTATTTAGCCTTATGAAATGGCTTTTTTCTGCTAGGCCACAGTCATTCTTTTTTTGAAAAAATACTATAACAATCAAGTACATTTTATGAACCAATGTGCCAGTTTGAAGTTAAACTTCTTAGAGGCACCTCCTTTCATGACTTGTCTTCAAGAAATCATGTGGTGGTTAGGCATTTCCATTAAGTCTTTCTCTAATAAGGAAGGTGAAGAGTAAAAGTCGAATGCAAAATGTTGGACCTGTGAAGCCATGCGAATATCTCAAAGCAAAGGATCATGTAATCCTCTGTAAAGTACATTCATTAAATTAACAGAGATGAAGAAAGGATGTGGCTGATGGGAAATGTGTCATATAGAAGCAAGATCAGAAAAGATAGACATGAAAACACAACAGACCATGTGCAGCACGCACATTCCCACACATGTGACTTTGAACTAGAAAGTGCTGGTTCACTGTAATCCCACTAAGGAGGGCAATCACATTCTGTGAAGTACTGCTTAAAGTACCATTCGTGGCAGCTAACACTATGAAAAGGTTTTTCAGCTTCTGTTTGAATAGACCTAGCAACAGAGATAATGTATTCCAACATGCAGTGCATTGCATGTGTCCTGTTTTGGAGGGTCCCTGAAGGTATGGAACTGTTCGAAGGGAAAGGAATTTTTAGGATATCTCATAGGTAATCTTACATCCCTTCAGATATGAACCATCAAATGGGCCTCTAAGCTCTGCACAACATCCTGTGCAGATCCTGCCAGTGTAAAGGTTACCCAATATTTCAGTCTTCTAAGCTCTTGCAAGGTTTTCCTTAAAGAAAATAACTCCATTACCATTTCTACTGTCAAAAACAGATGTGCACATGAGAATTTGTTGCTGCTGGTTTAGATGAAGGCAAGGACCCAAAGGTGGTACAGTCGGTGCAACCCAGTGGCAGCTGCCTGCAGGCTGCTTTGATACAACGAGCCAGCTAAGTTTATCCTGAAACCAGAGGATGTGCACAGCACAACACAGAACTGAAGATCCATGTGTGCACAGCATACTGCAGTCCTGCACCTGTTCGGGGTAATTGCCGTGTGGGTCACTAACTCCATGTACAATGGTCTCCTGGTCAGGATCTCTGCACATGCATGCATACATACCTGTTTTGCATCTACATATGAAAAGCTCCTTTTGTGCTGCAGAGCATTGCATTCATATCTGCACACATTAAAAATCTCTACACATCTATTGCAAACACTCTTTGCACAGGTCTCTGTGTCCATCAAGCTGGAATTGTGCAGGAAGTCAGGTATATAATCATGCAATTTGCACCTCCAAATGCTGCTAAAAGGCTATGTAAGTACATTTTTGCAAGCGTGCTTTTTGTGTCTGCAGCTCAAAATCCAGTAATACTTGAATTTTAATTTGTTTTCTTTTGACACACAGTGTTACTTGGTATTATATGAATAAATAATCTATGAGCTAGAAAACACTAAAAGGGAGGAAGGAAGTTGCATTATTAAAGAGAGATTAACATAATTTGACATGAAAGGCATTTTAGAGAATACAAATTGTCTGATTTACTGACGTGCACAGAAGCTAATACATCATTCATCCCTGCTACCACCTGACAGCTGCTCAGCTTCTAATGGGAAATGTGATGGTGGTCACAGTCCAGTTCATAGTGGACAGGTGTTGGCATGACAAAAAGTCATTATCACAACTGGCACTAACTGGCACCTGTCGAAACCTAGCCAGTAACTCAGACCCACACAGTCGCCCGCTCACTCCCCCTTCCTCTTCCTCCCCCCTCTCCGTAACTCCCACGGGCTGAGGTAAGAACAGCCCAGTAACTAAGGTATAACACAAACCACTGCTGCTGCCACCAATAATAATAATGATAAGGGAAATAACAAGGGGAGAAAATACAACCGCTCACCACCTGCTGACCGATACCCAGCCCAACCAAGCAGTGATCTAGCCCTTCCGGGTAACTGCCCCCAGTTTATATACTGGGCATGACGTGCTGTGGTATGGAATACCTCTTTGGCTAGTTTGGGTCAGGTGTCCTGTCTCTGCTTCCTCCCAGCTTCCCCTCCTCCCTGGCAGAGCATGAGACTCAGGAAGTCCTTGGTCAGAGTAAACATTACCTAGCAACAACTAAAAACATTGGTGTTATCAGTGCTGTTCCCAGGCTGAAAGTCAAAAAGAGAGCACTGCACCAGCTACTAAGAAGGAGGAAATGGCTGCTACTGCTGAACCCAGGAGAGCACCTTTGTTGAAAGTCTCAGCAGAAAGGCCAGTGATTGAATCAGCATGGAGGCTGCCTTGCACGCTCTGCTAGTGTGGGATGCTGAGCTCAGCTTACCCTTCACTGAAACTATCCTTACTTTTGCACATGTTTCAAAAGAACACAGCCAGGTTCTAACACTCTGTTTGCCTGTAAGTTCTAGGAGCATGTGTGCTACTGTGGCATAGCTCTGCAAGCAATGACTTTGTATAGAGGGGTGAGACACATCTCTGGGACACTGAAGCCTGCTCACTGATGCTGACCAACAGAAGAGCTTGTGAACTTAGGCTTAAGCTGGAAGAAGATCAAATGAGATAAAACCAAAAGCTGGTGTAAGGGAGAAACCACACGTGACCCACATGGGACTGAATTCTCACCCAAGCTTTTCTCAGTTTTAGTTTATTTACATGCAACTGTGATTCTGTGGACCGCTTTACTCTTATCTGCCTCAGTTTATTCTTTTGTATGAAGGTCATAATATTTGTCTCACTCTCGGGCATAATATGAGGCTATGCTAACTAATCAGTGCCTTAAGGTATTTAAGCACTTGTGATGGAACAATAGATACATCAAAATGCAGGCTTCAAATGTATAGGTACTTTGGTTTCTTAATAATCCTAATAAATGTGTTTCATTACGTACAGTTTCATACATACAGTTTCTTCTTCCACTCAGGCTACCTTGTCTAAATCAATGATTAAAATAGATTTTCCTTTAGTGTACAGAAACCTATACTGTTTGTGGGTTAATTATAACTTTTTTTTTTACTTTTTAAGCTCTATAGACAAATGCTAGTAATCTGACTGTAGGATTTGAGAATGCTTTTAATGGTTAATAAAAAAAAGAGTAAAAATAGAGGGGCTGGGAAAAAGGAAAGAACAGTTCTAGTTTTATGTGTATGGAAAAAAGGTGTTGCATTTGTTGCATGTGGCTTTGCCAGTGTACAGATAAAAGTGAGAGCACCAAACTGGAAAACTGATACACGTCAGGTAAAATATATCATAAAGCACTGAAAAAAAATATGTAAAAAGCCTGAGGTTTATCTGTTTGCATCACTGTTCCTAAGGCTTACCTTCATTAGAAATTATAAGGGTATAAGATAACGTGAGCAGTTACAGACGCTCAAAACACCACAAAGCCAGATTCTGATCTCTCCCCATTGATTTCTCACTGCTGTATTACATCTGATTTCAAGGAAATGTCTTCTCATTTACATGCATCTACATAAATTCAGGATCAAGCCACCAAGTTTTGCTTCCTGCAGTGTTAATAATGAGCAGTGGCTGCTGCAATGTGCTCCTAAAGACACTCTGGAAAAAGAGTATGTCGTTGTTAGCCTAATGAGGGGAAAGGGAGAGAGATTGCTAAATGTTTTATCTCTAGCCCAATTAAAGGAGAAGGAGAAAACGAGAGGGGAAAGACATCCAAGAAGGAGAGCTGTGTACATGGCAGATTCCTTCCTGCCTTGTTACAAGAGCATTCTTGCTAGATAGAACTGAAAAAGACAGAAGGATGTGGGAATACAAAGGATAAATCCTGCAAAGGATAAATCCTGCAACTGAAATCAGACTGTGGCAGCAGGGACCATCAGTCTGAGCTGCACATTATCTTCCAAAAATACCTCGCTTGGGAAGGAAAGAATATGGTAACAAGTACTCTGTTGTCATTACTGTTCTTAAGACAGATTATTCATGCAAATATGAAGGAGCAAGGCTTGCCTGCAGGCTGAGAGCCTCCTTGGCCATCCACGGTCACCTTTCAGGGCTGCTCTAGAGGGAGACAACTGCTTGTGTACGAAGGACAGTTTGGACATTGCTGAGCTCACTGACAAGTGACAACTCACTGTTTATAAAACAAGCGAAACTTGATCCCATGAAGTTTTCTTGATCCCAGCAACATCAGGCCTTCCAGAATGGGTGCCTACATCTCAAACAGCATGCTGGGTCCCAGACTCATGCTGTCATGTTTGTGTCCCACACTGTTCTCACTACCTGCACAATGGCCTCAGCCATGCAGAGCACAGAAGAAATTACCTTGCATCCCTACTTACCTATAGTGCTCAGACACTGAACTGAGCAATGGTTGCTTGATGCTTGACGCACCTGGTATAATCCAGTCTCCAAAAATCAAATTTCTGTTACTTATTTTAAATCTCTACATATTTCCTTGCCTTCTGACTAAAATGTAGCAGCTTTGTGAGCTAAGGTATAGCTGCCCTTTTACCATGTCAAGCGCCAGAAGCTTTAGCTAGGGAAAATGAATTTGAAAGATTTGCTCTGCTCTGCTAGTCTTTCATACTGCAGTTTTCCCCAGTAACTAAAGAGAGTTAGAGAAAGTTCCCAAGAAAGACTTGCATTATCAGTCTCGTGTTGTAATTATTTTTTAATCTGTGACTCCTGAGTCCCTACCCTGAGCAACGTTTTGTCTTGTTCCATGACAGCCATGACTGTATTAGACATTCTTTCCCCTGCAGTAAGACCGATTTGCTTTATTCACCACTTACCTGTGTACAG